TAAAGGGTTTACCAGTGGTGGGATTCAAATCATTTAACAACCGGTTCTCTGCCCTAATGACCGGCTGGGTGGGTGTGGCCATGGTGGGTGTGGCCAGAGGGGTATGACAGGCAGAACTCAGCCTCCTGCACCTCCCTGGGAACAAAAAGGGGCCGCGGGGGGGGGGGGGGATGCGGCCCTCGTGCCCCATTTTGGGCCTAATAGGCCTCCCTGCAGCCTCCTGGGAGCCAAAATGGAGTGCGTGGGGACTCCTGGGAGGGGTGGAGAAGGAGGGGCCAGCCAGCAATTTAACTACTGGTTCGCCTGCATCGGCTCGAACCGGCTAAATACCACCACTGGGTTTAACCAAAAAACTTTAACTGGCTCTTATTTATGCTGCCTTGCTTAACCTGGTTATGGAATGTACCCTTTTCCCCCCCCCCAAATATACATCCCACAAACTAAACCAATGGGCCATGGAGGCAATCCAAGATTCCCAGCTAGCAACTCTGGTGATCCTCGAGACGTCTGGACTTCAACTCCCAGAATTCCCCAGCCAGCCACGCATCTTAAAGTTCCGGAGGCTGGGAAATCCTACTTCGTGACATGCCAGAAAATGGGTTGATCCTAGAACCTGATTGCCCCACAAGCCATTCCCCCCCCAAACCTCCCAAATCTCTCATTTAGCACCTCCCTTTTCCAAAGCTAGCAATTCCTCAGGTGCTCCCTAACCCGGTATCCTGTGCCGATGATCAGAAAACCTGGAGGCGAAGCTGATGCTTTGCGACCTCTGGATTTGTAGTCTGCGTTCACCCAAAGGGGGGGGAGGGGGGCTCTTTACCTGTGTAGACAACACCGTTTATTTCTATCGACATGTTGATGCTGCTAATGCCGTTGGTGGACAGATTCAATGCCGTCTCCTGTCTGTCATCTGGAAGCGAACAGAGAAGGGGAGTGAGGAAGGCAGAGCAACGGAGGTGTCAGGGTTCCAAGCAATAGATCCATAGCCAGCAAAAACTCCCAGGCAGGCAAATTCCCAATGAAGGATAGCTTTATTGGAAATATCATATTGGCACATATCTGGTGAAAACCGACTCTGAAGGTTCCCGCAGTTTTTACCTAGTTAAAAGAGAAAGTTTTCCCCAGACCCAAAACCATCTGTCACATGGTCCAATCAAGATGCTCGCTAGTCGTCTGGAGGCCTCCCTCCTTCTTCACACGGTCCAGATATGAGAACGTCCTTGGTTCTCAAGAGAAAGTATTTTGTTTTGGCTACACAAACTCCTCTATCTCTAATCCCACCCCCGCTCCCTGTCCCTCAGCTCCAGCATGGCAACACTGAAGCTCCAATATGGCTCTGGTCAGGCCAGCTTCAGGGTTGACAGGAGGTAGGATGCGTGGGGTCTAGGACAACTCGCCACAGCCAACTCGCCCCGCGACAATTCGCCATGGCCAACTTGCTGCGGGACAAAAGTTACTTAATATTGAAGAAATGATGAAATAGAGTGTATTGACTCCTCCGGACGATTCCACAGACACTTCTCTTGATGTCAGCTGCTGGGAGGATGAACCTTGGCAGGTCAGGAGCTGAATTAATTGATGCCTCCAAGGAGCCATCTGGAAGGGATTGGGCTGAAGCTCCAGCTAGGTAAAGCATGCAGTTGCACACGGTCAGTGAGGAGGAGGAGGAGGAGGAGGAGGAAGAACTGCCTTCTGCACCTGATCCACATAGGGCAGAGAAAAGGCAGGAGCAGAGGAGGTCAGTCAGATTACTCGCAAGGAGAAAACTTCGCCCTTCCTGTTCGGTGACACCGGAAGCTGGCTATTTAGCACAGCAAATGGGGGAGGAGGCGTCACTGGGAACAACGTGGTTGTTTCCTAGCTGGGTGTATTCTGGTCATCGTGATAACAGATAACAGAATAACAGAGTTGGAATGGACCTCGTAGGTCATCTAGTCCAACCCCCCGTTCAAGCAGGAGACCCTACACCATTTCTGACAGATGACAGTCCAGTCTCTTCTTGAAAGCTTCCAGGGATGAAGCTCCCACCACTTCTGAAGGCAACTCCTGTTCCCTGGGTTGATTGTTCTCCCTGTCAGAAAATTTCTCCTTATTTCCATGTTGAATCTCTCCTTGTTTAGTTTCCATCCATTATTCCTTGTCTGGCCTTCAGGTGCTTTGGAAAATAGCTTGTGCCCCCTTCCTCTCTGTGGCAGCCCCTCAAATATTGGAAGACTGCTATCTTGTCTCCCCTGGTCCTTCTCTTCACTAGACTAGCCAGGCCCAGTTCCTGCAACTGTTCATCCTATTTTTTAGCCTCCAGTCCCCTAATCGTCTTGGTTGCTCTTCTCTGCACTCTTTCTAGAGTCTCAACATCTTTTTTTATAGTGTGGTGACCAAAACTAGGTGCAGGACTCTAGGTGTGGTCTTACTAAGGCTTTATAGAGTGGTCTTGGTACCTCCCTTGATCTTGATTGTATCCCTCTGTTAATACAATTTAGGATTGCATTGGCTTTTTTGGCTGCTGCTGCACACTATTGACACATATTTAGTTTCTTATCTGATTCCTGCCTCTCTTGGGATGGACTCCGTGCCGTAACTTGAATCGTGTTCGCCAGCTTTCCTGCGTTGTGGATTTATTATGTTGGGTTTATTATGTCTGAGAAACTTTCAAGTGCTGTGTGGACTCTTTGGCCATTGCTCTGGGGACTAACATCCGTCTGCTCATGGCTGGGAGAGTGTTTTGGTGAAGGGAATTGCTGGGGGAATATTAATAAACTCACCAAAGCATGGTTACGTGTGTGAGAGAGTGAATGAGTGGGGTCGCACATAGAATCATTAAAGAGAGGAAGGACAAAATGAAATGTGAATGACAAAAATTAAAATTTTAAATTATTTTAAAGAATTAAACGAAACTGTTGAATTTTGCCACAGCAAAGTAATCATAGTCTTACTAGAGTTGGCAGAAAGCCCAGAAACAATTTTGCAGAGAATCCAGACGCAAAGGAGAGTGAACTAAAGTTGTTCCCTACAAAATTGCTTCAGTCGGTGTTCCTCCTTAAATAGGCTGAGGGAGTGGCCAATTAGCCCCAAGCCTTACTCTCGAGGAGACCTCCTCCTGAGGAGCCACTCCTGCCTTTTGGCAGCTCTGCGCGCCCGTGCATTGAGAAGAGGCTCTTCCTCTTCTTCCTCTTCACTTATGGGAGCTTCTGGAGGTTCTGAAGGCCCTGGCTGAATCCCTGCCTCTGGCACCACATCTTCTCCAGCCTCCTCATTGTCTGACTCGATCGCCAGCTGCACAGGCTGCTGGAGCAGCACCACACCAGCCTCCTCGCTGTCGGAATCAGCTACAATCCGCACAGGCCGCTGACGGGCCACAACACCCATTCTGGAAGGCGTGAGCCCACCGGCAGCTCTGCGTTCCTGTCCCATTGAATCCAAACCCCAAATATTTCGTGCCAAGCAAAGCTCATCCTTTGCCAGGGGAGCCTCAACGATCGATACAGATACAGAGATACAGATTAACAGAGTTGGAAGGGACGTTGTAGGTCATCTTGTCCAATCCTCTGCCCTATCGAAGGGCAGGCTGATTTGGATAGGGGTCATTTCTCTGGTGCCCATGATCCAAAGTCTCCTACGAATATCTTTGCTTAACAACCATTCTTTAATGACCGTTCAAAGTTACGACAGACCCCACTCCCCCCCCCCAAAATATTCCTTACGACCTGTCCCTGAAGTTACAACTGTTACACACACCCTGTGGTGAAGTGACTGCATTTTGGGCCCTTGGAGACCAGTTTGTTCTTACGACGGGATGCAGCATCTAATGGTCATGCGACCACGATTTGCAACATTTTTTTTGCCTGGTTTCTGGCAAAAAAAGAAAACCCGCCCATACAGGACAGTTGATTCACTTAATGACCCTTTGGTTCACTTAACAACCATGTGATTCTCTTACCGCAATTTTTTTTTAAAATTTGGTTTATATGCCGCCCTTCTCCGGAGACTCAGGGCGGCTTACAATGCATTAAGCAATAGCCTTCATCCTTTTGTATATTTTATACAAAGTCAGTTTATTGCCCCCACAAACTGGGTCCTCAATTTACCTACCTTAGAAAGGATGGAAGGCTGAGTCAACCTTGAGCCTGGCGAGATTCGAACTTACTAATTGCAGACAGCTGGAGTTAAATTACAATGCATTAGTCTGCTGAGCTATCCAGGCTCCTAATGATGACAATGATGACAGTCATAAAATCAAGTCAGTTTAGGTTGTGACCTGCTTAGAGTTCAAACCAGTGCTTGAGTGCTGACCCAGACTGGAGCTGAGACGCAGGGAGGGAGGAGAGTAGAGATAACTGGGGTGCTGTAGCCAAAATAAAATTCTTTCCCCAGGGAACCAAGGACATCCATGCAGGAGGAGGAGACTGAGGCAGGGGTGAAATGCAAAATTTGTTACTACCGGTTCTGTGGGCGTGGCTTGGGGAGGGTAATGTGACTGGGTGGGTGTGGCCAACTTTTTTTTTTAAAAGCATTTTTGCAGGGAAAAAAATGCTTTTAAAAGCCTCTGATGACTGGGATCGTCAGAGGCTTTTAAAAGCATTGGTTACAGGGAAAAAATGCTTTTAAAAGCCTCAGACGATCCCAGCTGAGCCGCACAATCATCAGAGGCTTTTTTAAAAAAAACTTTTAAAAGCATTTTTTCAGCCGAAGAGGTTGTAGAAAAAATGCTTTTAAAAGTAAAAAAAAAAAAAAAGCCTCTGATGATTGCGCGGCTCAGCTGGGCGTGGGCGGGAGGGAGCGGCGCAGGGTGTTTTGCTACCGGTTCTCTGAACCACCTGCCGCCATCGCTACCGGATCGGGCGATCCAGTCCGAACCGGTAGCATTTCACCCCTGGACTGAGGTCAACGAGCAACTGGACTATATGCTGATTGGACCATGTGATCGGTGACTTTGGGGAAGTGACAAACTTTTACTTTTAATTAGGTGGAAACCTGCAGGAATTTTTAGAGCCGGTTTTCACCAATGTGATCGATCCCAATAAATTGTTCTTTGAGGAATATGCCTGCCTCGGAGTTCTCTTTGCTGTGGATGTGTTACTTGGAACCCTGACAGCAGCTACTTCATTGTTTACTGCCTATAATACAGGAATCTTCCCCAGGCTGGCAGCTTTTACCTAGGAAAGACCAGATAAAGCTCAGAAGTATTTGGGAGGGTCAGTCTGTGCCCTCTTGTGTTTATGTAGTGAGTCTAGAAGGGACGCAGTGGCTCAGTGGCTAAGACACTGAGCTTGTTGATTGAAAGGTCAACAGTTCAGCGGTTCGAATCCCTAGTGCCACATGACGGGGTGAGCTCCCGTGACTTGTCCCAGCTTCTGCCAACCTAGCCGTTCGAAAGCAGGTAGAAAATGCAAGTAGCAAAATAGGGACCAGCTTTGGTGGGAAGGGAACAGCGTTCTGTGCACCTTTGGCGTTGAGTCATGCCGGCCACACGACCACGGAGACGTCTTTGGACAGTGCTGGCTCTTCGGCTTTGAAACGGAGATGAGCACCGCCCCCTAGAGTCAGGAATGACTAGCACATATGTGCGAGGGGAACCTTTACTTTACCTAATGAGTCTAGGCTACATCCCTGCTTGAACCTTCTGCCCAACTGGGATGTTTGCTCTCCATCAATCCCAGAATTAAATTTTTCCCACAGAGAGTGTAAAGAACTGGGGAATGACGATCGGCCTGGTGGGAATAGGTTCCACGGCCTCCCCCACCCAACTACACTTCCCAGCTGCCCTTGGGCCAACGCAGAACTCAAAGGAGATGTTCTCCCTTCCCCCCAGCCCCCGAAAGTGATGGAGGGGGAACCCACCTCCACGGCTGTTGACCTTGATGTTGACCGGGAACTGGGAGGCCATGGCCAAAAGGTTCTGCTGAAGAGCCTGCTGGACCAGGCGCTGCTGCTCTTCGGCCACCAGCGCCATCTTCTTCTCCGGGGGCTCGCTGGTCTCCAGCTTCTCCCGCAACTGCTCCAGGGCGGCCGCCTGAGACGCAGCGGCTTGTGCTGCCACCAGGTGATGCCCGGCTAGGCTGACAGGTATGGCGATGCGGCTGGGCACCCCAGATGACAGGAGGCTCTCTTCTGTAAGAGAGGAGGAGGAGGAGGGGAAGGGTCAACAGAGGACAACAAAGGGACTCTCTAAGAATCTCATGGCTGTCATCTATATCTATCTGTCTATCACAATTGATCTATCAGCTGTCTGTCAATCTGTCTGTCTATCTATCTATCATAATTGATCTATCTATCAGCTGTCTGTCAATCTGTCTGTCTATCATAATTGATCTATCTATCAGCTGTCTGTCAATCTGTCTGTCTGTCTATCTACCTATCTATCATAATTGATCTATCAGCTGTCTGTCTGTCTATCTATCTATCTATCACAATTGATCTATCTATCAGCTGTCTGTCTGTCTGTCTATCTATCTATCTATCTATCATAATTGATCTATCTATCAGCTGTCTGTCTGTCTGTCTATCTATCTATCTATCACAATTGATCTATCTATCAGCTGTCTGTCTGTCTGTCTGTCTATCTATCTATCTATCACAATTGATCTATCTATCAGCTGTCTGTCTGTCTGTCTATCTATCTATCTATCTATCATAATTGATCTATCTATCAGCTGTCTGTCTGTCTGTCTGTCTATCATCATCATCATCATCATCGACATGGTATCATCTTCTATCTGACCATTCATCATCCATCCTATACATGTATCCTGTTATCTATTGTCATCTATCTATCTTTCTATCATTTATATGTCTATAACTATCTACAATATTATCTATCCTTCATCTATCAATCATCTGTTGATCTATACGTAACTATCTATCTGTAGTTATATCTATCTATCTATCTATCTATCTATCTATCTATCTATCTATCCATCCATCCATCCATCCATCCATCCATCCATCCATCCATCCATTTATCCCTACAGTATGTATATCTATCTATCTATCTACTGTATGTATGTATGTATGTATGTATGTATGTATGTATGTATGTATCTATCTATCTATCTATCCATCCATCCATCCATCCATCCATCCATCTATCTATCTATCTATCTATCTAACATCATTTGGTATGGTTTCCTGTTTACGCAGAGGTTGGACTAGAAGACTTCCAACTCTGTTATTCTGTTATTTATCAATCAATCATCTATCTATTAATCTCTATCTCTCTGTTTATGAATTAGTGGCTTGCCCCCTAATGTTGGTGGGAGTGGTCTTGGTGATTCCATGATTAGGCTGTTGTTTACTGAATTAGTAACCAACCGAGAACAGAGAGCACCCCTCGCCCTTCCTTCTACCCCTGATGATGTTCCCTAGATGGGTCATGAAACGTCTGCAAGAAAATAACCAAACTCAGAGCCCCAGAGCTCACCCTGAGCTGCAAATGTTCCCTTCTATCAATTAGTCTGCAGTGCTGGGCTCTTCCCAGATGGGTCGAACCACAGCTCCCATAACCCACTGCCAGCCAGCAAGCATGGAGGGGGGACTGCACCGAAAAAGGAGCAGACTGTAGTTTCGGAGTTCCTCTGACTCTCTGAAGGCTGCGAGAAAAAAAAGTGGGTTTGCAAGGGGAAAAAAAGCCCCGAGTGTCCTTTTCCAAGTTTATTTATTTATTTCGGTGCATTCAGGGCCCAGCCTTTATCAAGGAACAGCCTGGAATGCAATTAAAACAGATCAAAGCCAGTCAATGCGTCTCTTTCTTCCCCTCGAGGTCCTTTTTCTTTTCTTCTGACTTTAGAAAGAAGTGATTTGAGGCAGAAGGTTTTCACGCCAGCTGCCGGTCCCTGGAGGGAAGGTCGGGACGGGACAGGCGAATCAAGAGATTTCATACAAGACTTACGACCGTTCAGGAGTGGGCTTCAAAAATTTTAGCAAGGGGTTCTCTGTCCCGGTTGCTGGGTGGGTGTGGCCATGGTGGGCGTGGCCTAGTCAGCCTCCTGCACCACTGCCAGGGAGGGTGTTTTTGCCCTCCCCGGGCTCCGGAGACTCTCTGGAGGCTGGAAATGGGCCCATTTCCAATCTCCCCAAACTTCCGGTAGGCCCGTTTTTCACCCTCCCTGAGCCTCTGCACGCGCCCTGCACTTACCTATATCCAAATTGGGCTGCGTGGAGACTCCTGGGAGGGGTGGGGTGGACAGGGCCAGCCAAGAGTGGGATTTGGGGGGTTCTCCGAACTGCACAGAATCTTAGCTAGAGGTTCTCGCGAACCCCTGAGAACCCCCAGCAGCCCCACTCCTGCAATCGTTCCTTTAGTGACCGTTAACAAGTTACACCACCACTGAAAAAGTGATCGATGATCTTTTTTTTTCATGCATTAAGACCGTGGAATTCTCCCCACGATCAAAATTTGGCCGCTTGGCAACTGACTCGTATTTATAACAATCGCAGCGTCCTGGGGGTGATGTGATCCCCCTTTTGCGACCTTCCGGCAAGCAAAGTCAATGGAGGAGCCCGGATTCACTTAACAACCGGGTTCCTAATGTAATGGCTGCGGGGATTAACTTAACAGCAGTGCAAAAACAGTCATAAAACAGGGGAAAACTCACTTAGCAATCATCTCACCTAACAACGGGAATGTTGGGCTCAATTATGGTCGTTCAGAACTATCTGTACCCCCAAAAAGGGGGTATTTTCTGCAGAGGTTCAGACTTTCACCCCTGACCTCTGCCTTGACCTCCTCCCCTGGAGACCCTCTCCCACCCACCCACCCAAAGCAGTCTCAGCCCCTCACCATTTTTGACGGCGCGGACTTGTCCGATCTGGCTCCCGTTGTGGGTGGCGATGGTGAGGGAGGGCAGAGGGATCTTGGGGGAAGCGAGGGTGGCCGGCGTGCCCGTGGGCGAGTAGCTGAACAGGGTGGCCCCGAACATCTGCCGCCTCCCTTCCCGCCGGTTGCTGTCGATGGCGGCTTGCAGCTCGCCGGGAGAGCTCAGGCCCCGCTTGTCGCATTCGTAAGGGTAGAGGTACTTCATGTACCTGTGAGGAGAAGCAGAGAGGTTTCCATCGCCACAGCTGAGATGCTACATGGACACAGAACATAGAATCACAGGGCTGGAAGGGACCTTGGAGGTCTTCTAGTCCAGCCCCCTGCTCAAGCAGGAGGCCTTATATTATTACAAATGGCTGTCCAGTCTCTTCTTGAAAACCTCCAGTGATGGAGCACCCACAAATTCTGGAGGGAAGCTGTTTCACTGGGTGAATTAACAGAACAATAGAGTTAGAAGGGACTTTGGAGGACTTCTAGTCCAGTCCAGTCTGTTCCTGAAAACATCCAGTGATGGAAAAAGGTTCTTCATATGAAAAGCCACACACATAAAATTTTGCAGAACCAGTGATGTTGGAAACATGGGAAAAAATATGGGTCCAGAATGTTAAATTTACACAGTCGCAGAACTTGAGGGAAAATTTTTATAAAATGTTTTATAGGTGGCATTTAGATCCTAAGAAATTGTCGTGCATGTACCCTAATGTTCAACCAAAATGCTGGAGATGTGATTGTTTAGATGCCACATATTATCATGTGTGGTGGACTTGTAAGAAAGTGAAGGCTTTTGGGATAAAAATTTGGTGGGTTATGCAAAATGTTTTGAAGAAAAAAATTCAGTTTTCTCCACAACTGTTTTTATTGGGTATAGTTAAGGGTTTTACAAAGTTGATATTGTACATGATAACAGCAGTGAGATTACTGATAGGTCAATATTGGAAAAATGAAGCTATGCCTACTATTGATGAATGGACTCTGAAGGTGGCCAGTTTTGCAGAGATGGCGAAGATTTCAGCATACCTAAAAGATCGCTCACAAGAGACTTATGTATGGGAGTGGAAAAAGTGGATAGATTATGTGCAGAATAAATACCAAACTAGGAAATATCAGATAGCTTTTAACTGAATGTATTATATAGGGATAGAATAATTGAATTTTATGAAGATTTGAATAATATACAGGGGGTGGAAGGGTTCAAGTCTTATAAAATGTGATTTTGATTTGGATTATATTTTGTGGAAGTCCTGGGGGGAGGGGAGGGTTAGGGAGGGCTAGGGGGGGGTCAGGGAGGGCTGGGGGGGGGAACTGGGGAGAAAATGTATTTGTAAAACTTTTTCAATAAAAAAAAAAGCCACACACATGTCAAAGAACGTTTTTCTACTGCTGCTCATTCTTGAAGTCTACAATGGGTGTCACATCAATTGCAATCAAATGAATGAATCAAATCGATCTCTCTCTCTCCCTCCCTCTTTCTTGCATTTGTCGCTTAACACACGTGGCCAGGCCAGCTTCAGGATTGACACAGAGGGGGCTTCAACTTTTCTAAGTCTTCCCATCCAGGGCTTGGTCCTTCCCAGATTTCTCTAAAACCTACCCAAATCTCTCATCACAACTCATGGTTGTGCTAAGAGAAGAGCAACAAATTAGGGGTCTGGAGGCTAAAACATATATATGGAATTTAATGAAAAGAAGGACTGGGGTGACATGAGAGCATCTTCCAATATTTGAGGGGCTTCTACGAAGAGGAAGGGGTCCAGCTATTCTCCAAAGCACCTGAGGGCAGGACAAGAAGCAATGGGTGGAAACTAATCAGAGAGAAGCAACCTAGAACTAAGGAGAAATTTCCTGACAGTGAGAACAATTAATCAGTGGAACGACTTGCCTCCAGAAGTTGTGAATGCTCCAACACTGGAAGTTTTTAAGAAGAGGTTGGATAACCATTTGTCTGAAGTAGGACCTCCAAGGTCTCTTCCAGTGCTATTATTTTGTTAATTAACTCAGTGGAACAGCTTCTCTCCAGATGTTGTGGCTGCTCCATCCCTGGAGGTCTTCAAGAAAAGATCGGGCAACCATTGTCCAAGATGGCATAGGGCCTCTTGCTTCAGCAGGGATTGGACTAGAAGACCTCCAAGGTCCCTTCCAGAATCCTACGGCTCCATGTTCTATACCCGTGTATAGAGATCCTTGCTCTCCTCAGCCTTCAAAATTTCCACTTTTCTTTTTTAAACAAAACATAAAAACAAACCCATCATCCATTACAATTGCAAACAGTGTGTCGGTCAGTTACTGTTCTGCCCCTGCTATGGACCCCAAAGAACGCAGCACACACAAAGTCTGTACAAAACTTAATTTACTAAAATAACTCAGTCTTTTTCAAACAAAGGCTGTTAATAAACTTTCTTAACATCCTACAAGAAACCAAAGATAAAGTAATCACAATCTTACTATGGTTGGCAAAAAGCCCAGAAGCAATTTGCAGGGAATCCAGACGCGAAGGAGAGTGAACTAAAGTTGTTCCCTACAAATTGCTTCAGTTGGCATTCCTCCTTAAATAGGCTAAGGGAGTTGTCAATTAGCCCCAAGCCTTACTCTCGAGAAGACCTCAGGAGGAGGAGCCACTCCTGCCTTTTGACAGCTCTGCATGCTGGTGCATCGAGAAGAGGCTCCTCCTCTTCATCCTCTTCACTTATGAGGTTCTGAAGGCCCTGGCTGAATCCCTGCCTCTGGCACCACATCTTCTCCAGCCTCACTGTCCAACTTGAGTGCCAGCTGCTCAGGCTGCTGGCACAGCACCACACCAGCCTCCTCACTGTCGGAATCAGCTACAATCCACACAGGCCGCTGACGGGCCACAACAGTTACAAATCTTTTGTGCTTCATACCCATATTCAAAATTAAACCAACATTTCTAAAGCGTGTTCCATGCACACAGACCGCCCCCCCCTTTCCCGGCCGCCGTGACTCACTGTGTGCGGAGCGTGAAAGCCGCGCTGGTGATGGAGGTGGGCAGGTTCAAGCCTTTGGTGATCTCCCGCCAGATCTTCTTGTTGATCACCTCCACCAGGCCTCCTTTCTCGGTCACCAGCCGATAGAGCGAGTAGAGATCCAGCACCTGTTTGGCCATGATGGGGATCCGGTTGACGGGGGTCCCTGGGAAGGAGAAAGACGGGCACCGCACAGGACAAGGTTTAAGAACAGAAGCAGCCACTCAGATCAGTGGCTTCTCACCTTGGCCACTTGAAGATGGAAGGACTTCAACTCCCAACATTCCCCAGCTGGCCAGGATTTTGGGCTGGTTGTTTTTTTTTTTAATTGCTCTGTATTTCTTTTTTAATTAAAAAAAAGAAATTCAGCCCCACCCCAACCCCAGCACAGCAATGCTGTGTAAATTTAGTTTAGGTGCTTTTTATTGTTTTTAACATGTTGCCACTGTTTTTCTATTGTGATATATTTTGTGAATGGCAAGCTGCCCAGAGTCATTGATTGAAATGGGAGAAAGAAAGAGAAAAAGAAAGAGAGTGAGACAGAGAGAGAGAAAGAGAAAAAGAAAAAGAGAGAGAGAGAGAGAGGGAGGGAGAGAAGAAGGAAGGAAGGAAGGAAGGAAGGAAGGAAGGAAGGAAGGAAGAGCAAGAAAGAGAGAAATAAAGAGAAAAGAGAAAGAGAAGGAGGGAGGGAGGAAGGAGAGGAGAAACAGAGAAAAAAGAAAAAAGAAAGAAAGAAAGAAAGAAAGAAAAAGAAAGAAAGAAGAAAGAAAGAAAGAAAGAAAGAAAGAGAGAAGAGAAAGAAGAAGAAAGAAAGGAGAAAGAAAGAAGGAAGGAAGGAAGGAAGGAAGGAAGGAAGGAAGGAAGGAAGGAAGGAAGGAAGGAAAGAAAGAAAGAAGAGAAAGAGAGAAATAAAGAGAAAAGGGAAAGAGAAGGGAGGGAGGGAGGGAGGAGAGGGAGAAGAGAGAAAAAAGAAAAGAAAGAAAGAAAGGAGAGGGAGAAAGAAAGAAAGAAAGAAAGAAAGAGAATTAAGAAAGAAAGGAGAAAGAAAGAAAGAAAGAAGGAAGGAAGAAAGAAAGGAAGGAAGAAAGGAAGGAAGGAAGGAAGGAAAGAAGAGCGAGAAAGAGAGAAATAAAGAGAAAAGAGAGAAAGAGAAGGAAGGGAGGAAGGGAGGAGAGGGAGAAAGAGAGAGAAAGAAAGAAAGAAGAAAGAAAGAAAGAAAGAAAGAAAGAAAGAAAGAAATAGAAGGCTTTGTAAAGACCTGGCTGGGGTCCTCTCAACGCATTGCCCGCATTGAGGCTTTAGGGAAAGGATCCGTACCCAGTAGGTCAACAAAAACTGACTTCCAGCTCCCCTCCTTCGTTGAGGGGCACAAACTTAGAAAACAAACCAAGCTGAGAGAGCACCGAGGACCCCTGAAAAGGGAAAATACATGCCCCGCATTGAGGGTGGGGTGGGTGGAACCCCCTCCAGCCTGGCAGGGGCACCCAGAGGGATCTCGGTCCTTCTGGATGGAGAGGGAGCAGGTGCCGAAGTGGGCCACGAGACCACCGGGCTCTCTTCCGGGGACCCCAGAGGCTCTTCATTAGCCCTGGATGTGCGGTGAAAATCTGTCGATGCCGGCAGGTTATTGGAATTGATTTCAGTTTAGCGGCCGATCCAGGGTGGCCGGCAAAGAGCATGCTGGGAGGGGCGGAGGCCAAGTGGGGTGATGTGGGGTGCTGTGGCGAAGGGGGCTTCCCTCCAGTGAGGAGGGGGCTCTGGGCAAGAGAGACCCCACCACCACCACGGCTCAGCAATTCAGCTGGGTGTTGTCAAAGTCAGAAGGAAGTCAACATCTGGCCAGACAAGACCCCAATTTGGAAGAAGGCAGCCCTGGACTTGGGGGGACCCCCCCCTCCACAAAGGAGGTGAGCAGTAACCAAAAGGGGGGTGAAATCTGTCCCCCCTGGATTTTTAGCCCTGCATACTGCCCCCCCTCCCTGCCCCCCCCCCGTCGACCACCAAGGCAGATACAGATAGTTTTACAGCCACAATTGAGCCCAAAATTTCCATTGCTAAGCGAGGCAGTCGTTAAGTGAGTTTTGCCCCATTTTACGATCTTCCTGCCACAGTTATTAAGCAAACGCCTGAAGTTTGTTTAAACGAATTGTGCTGACATTAAGTGAATCTGGCAAATCCCATTGACCTTGCTTCTCAGAGGTCAGCTGGGACTCTTAAAAATGGCGATTGCGTAACCCCGGGACACTGCAACCGTCGTAAGTACGTGCCAGTTGCCAAGGGCCTGAATTTTGATCCCATGACCATGGGGATGCTGCAATGGTCGTTAAGTGTGAAAACTGGTCGTGGGTCACTTTTTTCAGTACTGCTGTAATTGTGAACCGTTACTAAATGAACGGTTGTAAGGTAGAGCATAGAATAATAGAATTGGAAGGGCCCTTGGAGGTCATCTAGTCCAACCCCCTGCTCAAACAGGGGATCCTACACTATTTCAGACAAGTGGCTGCCCAGTCTCTTCTTAAAAACCTCCAGTGATGGAGCACCCACGACTTCTGGTGGCAAGTTGTTCCACGGTTCAATTGTTCTCACTGTCAGGAAATTTCTCCTTAATTCTAGCTTGTCGATCCCTCTGAGAAGCTTCCATCCATTAAATAACAGAATATAACAGAAATAACAGAAGGTCGCCACGATGTAAAAAAGATGTTGAGACTCCAGAAAGAGTGCAGAGAACAAAGAGGATTAGAGGACTGGAGCAGTGGGGAAATCTAAAATTTGTTACTACTGGTTCTGTGGGCGTGGCGGGGGGGGGGTAATGGCCAATTGTATTGGCCGGTTCTGTGGGCGTGGCCAATTTTTTTTTAACTTTTAAAACCATTTTTTCTACAACCTCTTTGGCGAAGAGGTTGTAAAAAAATGCTTTCAAAAGCCTCTGACGATCCCAGCTGAGTTGCCTGATCAGCAGAGGCTTTTTTGCCAATCAGGCAACTCAGCTGGGATCCTCAGAGGCTTTTAAAAGCATTTTTTCTACAACCTCTGAAGAGGTTGTAGAAAAAAATGCTTCTAAAAGCCTTTGAAGATCCCAGCTGAGCCGCGCGATCATCAGAGGCTTTTTTTTTTTTACTTTTAAAACCATTTTTTCTACAACCTCTTTGGCGAAGAGGTTGAAAAAAAAATGCTTTCAAAAGCCTCTGACGATCCCAGCTGAGTTGCCTGATCAGCAGAGGCTTTTTTTTTTACTTTTAAAAGCATTTTTTCGCCCAAAGAGGTTGTAGAAAAAAATGCTTTTAAAAGTAAAAAAAAAAGCCTCTGATGATTGTGCAGCTCAGCTGGGTATTGGGGGGGGGGGCAGGGATTTTTGCTACCAGTTCTCCGAACCACCTGACTCCATCGCTACCAGATCAGGCGATCCGGTCCGAACCGGGAGCATTTCACCCCTGGACTGGAGGATAAAATATATAAAGAACAGTTGCAGGAACTGGGTAGGTCTAGTTTAATGAAAAGATGGACTAGGGGAGACATGATAGCAGACTTCCAATATCTGAGGGGCTGCCCCAAAGAAGAGGGAGTCAAGCTGTTCTCCAAAGCACCTGAGGGCAGGACAGAACAGAATAACAAGAGTTGGAAGGGACCTTGTAGGTCATCTAGTCCAACCCCCTGCCCAAGCAGGAGGCCCTACACCATTTCTGACATTTGGCAGTCCAGTCTCTTCTTGGGAGCCTCTAGTGCAGGGGTAGGTTCTACTTACCTTTACTACCAGTTCGCATCGTGCCTGCTCACGCACTTTTCTGCACATGCACAGAAGCTTCTGATGACGTCCGGGTCAGTGGGCGGAGTCTCCTACCAATTTTACTACCGGTTTTATAGAACCGGTCTGAACCGGGGGCAACCCACCACGGCTCCAGTGATGAAGCTCCCACAACTTCTGAAGGACAAGAAGCAACGGATGGAAACTAATCAAGGAGAGAGACCCTAGGAATCCTGAGATGGAAAGCCCATTAAAAACTTTGCAAGGCAGCACCGACACCACACTATCCATAGGAGCTGACCTCAATAGGACAGGGTACCCTTTCCCTGAAGACCCTCCGTGCAAACCGGAAGCAACAGTGCCTAGGGAAAAACTTGGAAATGGACTCCAAAACCCAGCATCTCTCTGGTGTCAAGGAGAAAGAGGCGGCTCGTGAGATGCCCAGTTCCTCAAACGGACCCCGGACGAGCACGGGAGCAGCTGCCAAATTCGAAACACAAAGAAAAGCTTTTAATTTATACCTTCTTTTCTTCCAGAAGGACCTCAAGAAAAGAGCCAGACCTGGAAGTGGGGAGGGGGACGACGATCGAAGCCCCATCTATTTGGAGCAGAGATTCAGCTCCAATGGCCGTTTTCCTCGCTCCCCTAATTTATGGGCATCTTATCGGCTGGGATATTCTTCATCCGCTTGAAAAATGACTTGCTTTATTCTTTCCCGGCTTCTCATTCCGGCTGTTTTGTGTTTTAAAAAGTGTAAAACGGATAAAAGATGAAGATAAACGCGGATGAAGATAAAAAGAGAAATGGCGAGTGTGCAAAAAAGCGGCAGGGCAGGAAAGAGAGAAAAAATGGGGTTTGGGTTTTGTACTCCGGAGCGAAGGCAGCAGGCTTGGGGTTCGGGGTGCAGCAAGGGGGCGGCTGCCTTTGTATGGGGCTTCATGCAGAAAGGGGTTTGCAAGGTGAGTGTTTGGGAAGAAACGGTCCATACTTACGAGACCGCCTTCTGCCACCAGTAGCCTCTCACCGACCAGTCCGCTCCCATAGAGGGGCTCCTCAGGGTGCTGGCGGCCAAACAATGTCGACTGGCGGCCCCCAGGGGGGGAGCCTTCTCTGTGGGGGCACCCGCCATCTGGAACGAGCTCCCCCCGGAGATACGGAGGATCCAAGACTTACGCATCTTCCGCCGCGCCCTAAAAACGTTTTTATTCCAACAGGTTGGTCTGGCCTAACTCTCCCTTTTAAATTGGGTTTTAAATGTTTTTTAGATAAATTGGATGTTTTTAATTTGTTTTTTGAGCCTAAATTATTTAATCTGTTTTTAATAGTTTTTTAACTTTTGTATGTCTCTGTATTTTATTTTGGCTGTTCACCGCCCTGAGTCCTTCGGGAGTAGGGCGGTATACAAATATGATAAATAAAATAAA